TCGATGAAAGGAACAGCATTTTTCGGAATTTCCGGATAAGAGGACAACAACCGAAATTTTCGAAAATTCCTTACCGGGAATTTCCGTTCCATTTGACTTTCTTCCCGAAATTTCCGGAATTTTCGGTTGAATGGTTCGCTTTTCGGAAAATCCACAAAACTTTCCTGGGAAATGTCCCTTCCATTTGTCCCTGTTACAAAATTTTAGGTATTTCGCTTAATATGGAAGGCGCCCCGGTCACTTCCCAGCATTCTGTCTGGGTTGTCCCATCAATTTGCCATTGTCCATTATAAATTTGTGTGGAGAGAGGCGCTTGGAAAGTCACGTAAGTTTGTCAAGAACACAACAGACAAGGTCACTGGCTGGCATAGATTTCCAAACATCCCAGGCAAGTCCAGTCATGACAATAAGAGAGCCTGATTACAATACAAGCATTTAACCTCTCATGATGCCGATTAGAGACAATATTTTTAGGACAATGGAACAACTGCAAAATAACTTCACACATAATAGCAAAGGACTTCAAAATGTAGCAAACACCAAATGTACGCGTCCCGTGATCCCAGAAGACTTAACGGAGTAACTGAACGGAACGACCACTCTAATCACATGTTCAATTGCATCGGCGTGCGTCTGTTCAGTAATAGATCATCTTACATTTTGACGTCTTCTGTGATGTATTACTCAACAGACGCACGGCAACATGGAATCTATTTGTTAATCTGAACATCCCAATTAGACAACCAGGGACAACAGAAAGCCAAACTCAGAGGACAGAAAAGATCACCTTTGTATCTGTGGCATTCCCCGAATCAGTTTGGTCTTTAAACATGTCTGCATCGAGCTCATTTTCCTTGCAGAAAGTCGCCACACAGTTCACAAGTTGCTCTCCAAATCGTTCACATTGTCTCTCAGACACTCCATCAACTTTTAACAGGCTGCCAGTAGTGGTGGGTCTGCGACAAAACACAGTTTCTTAGTTATGGACGGAGAGGAGAATAATAAACAGGCAAGCAAGGGTATCTGTAATTAGCGAGAAAACATTAAACAGATCGTGAGAACAGTAAGGAGCAGTTGAAATTGAAAATATGAGTCTTCAATCCCAGAAATAAATACTCAAAAGGGAAGGCAATTAATTCTTAAACAATTGCGAGATACACTTGTATCAAATTCTTGCCACCTAATACAGTAGTTTCACTTGTCATTCTTTGTAAGAAAATTTGACAAAACCTTATAGTGAGTTTGTGAAGCTGACGTTTCAAGTGTCAGTTAATGAGAGATGGAGAGAGAGATAATCTTTATTTAAACACGGTTAAGAGTTCGTCAGCTAAAACTACTTATAACTAATACTAAAGAAAAAAATAATTAAAAAAAAAATCGTCAGAGCTTGTTATTATACCTGTGCTTGGCAATGTCCAGTAGAATCTTGTTTGTGGCAATCATGTAAGGTGGACAGTCCAGTGAGTGAGACAGTTCTGTTCTAAGCCTCATAAGGGTGGAGTACAGAGAGCCCTACAAAAAAAATACCCCAGTCTTAATTTAAGCGGTCAGGGTAAGGGGGAGGAGGGTATTGAGGACAAGGTGTTTACAGGTAATCATTGAAAAAAGTTCCTAACAATCAAGACCGGTAATGATGACATCACTAGGCTGTTGATTCACGTGACTTTTAATGCACCATATTAGCTGCGTACAATGCATAAGCCCAATTTCGCCAATGGGAACAGGGCGAAAAAAGTTCCACGTTAGAGGAACAATTTTTTAAATGATAGCAGTTCCCACCAAGACGGGTTATGTATCGAAGAAAAACAACTTAATGTCCCAGTAAGAAGACTTATCAGATAGCTCACCTAATTTATGAAAACAGCCCACGAATAGCTCACCTGGAGTTCAAGCTCTTTTTCATCAATAATTGGTTTCTCTTGTGTTGCTGCTGGCATTGCTATCTGAGTGGCACGATTCTGATGCCAAGTGGGCACAGATGCTACCTCAGGAAGAGGTAGCAGGTATCTGAAAAAGAAAGCGGCATTCTTAGTAAACTTACACTACCAGCTATAAACTAAATTCACAATAATTGTAATTTAAATCCTACTAGCTTAATCCTGCTATAACATCATACACTTCTCCCCAGTCCCCACTGATTTCCAGATAACTGATCTGCACTTGANGAGACAGTTCTGTTCTAAGCCTCATAAGGGTGGAGTACAGAGAACCCTACAAAAAAAAAACATCCCAGTCTTAATTTAAGCGGTCAGGGTAAGGGGGAGGAGGGTATTGAGTACAAGGTGTTTACAGGTAATCATTGAAAAAAGTTCCCAACAATCAAGACCAATAATGATGACATCACTAGGCTGTTGATTCACGTGACTTTGAATGTACCATCTCAGCTGCGTACAATGCATAAGCCCAATTTTGCCAATGGGAACTGGGCGAGAAAAAGTTCCACTTTAGAGGAAAAATTTTTTTAAATGATAGCAGTTCCCACCAAGACGGGTTATGCATTGAAGAAAAATAACTTAATGTCCCAGTAAGAAGACTTATCAGATAGCTCACCTAATTTATGAAAACAGCCCATGGATAGCTCACCTGGAGTTCAAGCTCTTTTTTATCAATAACTGGTTTGTGTTGTGTTGCTGCTGGCATTGCTATCTGAGTGGCACGATTCTGATGCCAAGTGGGCGCAGATGCTACCTCAGGAAGAGGTAGCAGGTATCTGAAAAAGAAAGCGGCATTCTTACACTACCAGCTATAAACTAAATTCACAACAATTGTAATTTAAATTCTACTTGCTTAATCCTGCTTTAACATCATGCACTTCTCCCCAGTCCCCACTGATTTCCAGATAACTGATCTGCACTTGACGTACAATAGCCCATTTTACAGTTCCGTGCCAAGTGGTCAGTCCCTTGAGCTGAAGCAAGGCTAGAGGTGACCTGGTTTCGATACGAACGTTGCTTCTTTTCAAAAATTAATATAAATTATTCTATCATGANAGGTTTCTTACTTTTTATTTTGTAACTCTTAATTAACCGCAGGTCCACATCAGCTTATGCTGCCTATATACCGACCTGCGTAAACAAATAAATGATGTAATGTATGTAAAATACTTACCGAACCTCTCAGCATCAAAACAGGAATTGACATACCATATGTACCATTCCCTGCTGTCTAAAAATACAATAATAAATAAGCCAATAAATAAAATTAAAAAAAGAGTTAAAGGTAACATTATACCTATACACCAAAGCAAAACAAGAAATGACAGACAGATGGACTAAAGTGCACAGAGAAGGAAAAGAGGAATTATGCAAGGAGGGAGGGAGGGAGGTACAAAGGAAGAATTGTGTGTTCATCTGGAACATGAATGAAATGAAAGAAATGAAGTTCAGGAATAGAAGAGATGATTAATATTATTATTAGTCAGTTAATCTAGATCTTTTGGCCAAGTCCGTTCAGAGCTAGAACACTGCAGTTTAAATCTGTACTTCTGAAAAATTGGCTACAGAGTGCTGAACAAGTAAACTTGAAACCATGGTGAAAACATATCATAAAGACTTCAGCAAGTAAGAGAATTGACAGGTTTGATCTATTTATTTGAAAATACTGTTTGAGAACAAACAAATTTTTGGGTTCAGTTTTACATGTAAATGGTATAATTTCACTTCATTCACAACTAATTTCCACCATAACCAAAAGGCCCTGGCTAGTGGTTTGACAAGTAAATGAGGATAAATCCCTCACAAATGATACACTTAAATAATTAACTTCAATTTAAACATTTTCTTACAGTGACTTACCATAATAGCATTAAGAAGCAATTTAGCTTCCTTTGTGAAATCTCTCTTGTTATCCTTGACATGTGGGTTAAGAGCCCTATAAAGTCAATATCACTGTTAAGATCCTTGCAAAATTAACAATGGGTATACCGCTATTTTCTCAATCAAATGCCCAGCTCGCATTTGAAAGTTTTAAATAAATTCACTCTGCATTGAAGACAATGCAGAGACACTGGACACCAGCTCAAATGACTATGTCACTGACTTCATCTATCTTGAGTCATATTTAAAAAATGTTGTGGAACTAGGCACTCAGTGGTGTGGTAAGTATGGTAGGACAACCATGTCTAGTTCTTCTAGCTGGAGTCACTGTGTTGCTGTATGGTATTGGACAAGACACTTGTTACTTTTTCATAGTTCTCTGTTCCACCTAAGAGTATATTAAATGGTTACTAGATATCTGTTAGAGGGATGGAGAATGGTACGCGCAAGACTTTTGGAGACATTGAGACAAATGGTTTTTTTTGCAAGCCCGAGACATTTTGAGTTTTTAAATTGAAAGACTGAGACGTTCAGATTCTCAGACGTTTAGAAATCATTTATGAAAACAAAAAATAGATCAGTCCCTTGGTTTTTGTTTTAGCCTTGCAAAACATTGAGACTGTGAGCTGAGTGAAATTCAACAAAAAATTTGTGAGACCCATGGTTTTTGCCACCCCTTGTTAGGGAAACTAGAAAACCTGTAGTTGTTTTCATGCTCTGGAGACCAAAATATTCAGCTCTGACATTGTGGACCAGTTGGCCTGAGTAATGCTTTAGCTTTGGCTTCAAGTGTTGATTTGAGATACAATTCAAAGTTACTACGCAGCTCTCATTATCAATATTAGCTGTTTTTTACTGACCTGTTTCGACAAATATCACAACAGTCATCTTTTCCACCAATGCTCATACCAACTGTGTCCTCAAAGTATGCTAAAATTGTTCTATAGACAAAAATAATTTGACATGTAAACTGTAACTAAAATAAAATTAAAGGAAACTTAGCAGATAATATTATGCAATTAAGATAACATGTTTAGTTAACATGAGGTTCCACTTCACAAACCCTTGTCACCAACCTTCTTCTACATTCTGTAGTACCCAGGTACTGCTCAAGTTTGTTCAGCATTCGCAGCTTATGTTCTTTGAAGGACTCTGCTTTAACATCATTTAACAAGTGCCTGGAGAGTAGCATGAATGGCGTGCAAAATTACATTTCAGACCACAGAAATAATATAAATGTTCAAAACGCAAGTGGAACCATGAGTGAAGAGAATAGTTTCACAAAAAAATTGAAAGGACCCTTTTCAGATGAATTTTTGTTTTAGAGAATTGGAGAAGAGCTGTTGCCTCTTAGAGCAAGCTCCTTTTTGATGTTCAGCAGCTATCACTGACTGTTAAATGAGAACTTTGCTAAAAGCTGCCACTATTGACTGAAACTAACACTTACCGGTTGAGGGAAAAATCCGCTGTGCTATAAAAAACATGGCACGTACTGGGAAGACTATAATATGATGAAAAAAGGTATGGTTACATGGTTAATAGATGTTTGTTATTGAAGATGATTTCTGAATGGAGCTCAGTCACATAGTAATCACTGCAGATAGTACTCACCCATCCCGTCCAGCCCTTCCTATCTCCTGGTAGTATGATTCTATATCTTTTGGAGCTAAAACAAACATATAACAATTGGACAGTTCATCAATTTTCATGGAACTAAAAAACAGTTAAATACAGCTTATCTAAGTTTATAACATAGAGAAGCTCCCATTGGTCTGGCAGTCAGAACAAAGTACCCAGTGTTAACTAGTGCATGCTCAGGGTACACCATCAGAGTAGCGTGTAGTACATCTTCTGTGCAGTGTAGGGTGGCACCTTTTTAGTGGAGATTTAGAGTATTTGTGCTCTTCCCTCTCCCGCATGTATCTCCCTATCCCCACTGTTAACACAGTTTGATGGGTGCCTAGATGAATCTGTGTGGGAGCTCATGGCTAGGTTGCAGGGATTGCTAGCCTTGGGAGTTACTTACTGTCTAGGGGCTGGCTGTTCACAGTGGAGGCACCTGTACTTCCCAGGCACTCGTCATCCAAACAGCTAGATGCAGACGGAAGTAGTTGACTACTTAATTAACTATTAATCATAAAATACAGTGAGAAAGTTGCTGTGCTCAGCATGTGACAGCAACATTTCGTCCCAATAAAAGCGTCAAAGAAGGTCAGAGTTGAATCATCTTGAACAGGCAGGTTATTAGAAGAATTTTCTTAACTACCATTTCAGCATAACAGATTCAATGAAATTAGTCCTGTAAAAATGCTTTAATTGTACAGTTATTAATTGACTCTAAACCTTAATAATACATACCTCCATAATGAATAATTTTTCTCACATCTGGTTTGTCAATTCCCATTCCAAAGGCCACTGTGGCTACAATGCACTAAAAAAGAATGCAAATATATGTAAACTAAGAATCAAAATGAAATGGAGCAGCTGCAGTTAAGTACAACTCCCATGATACACCATGCAGGGAAATGACTGGTGGTGACCAAAACCTGAAAAACGTTGGTAACACTGTCTAACAGTGGAGAGGTTAACTCTGAAATGCTCCACAGGAAAAACAGAACAAACATTGGAAAAATCTAATATCTAGTGACACCCACTCAGGACATTTATTTCTCCTGTACCTATCAGAGCTACAACCTTTCAAGACATCGGAAACATACCATGCCAGCTAGAATCGCTGCTGCACTTACAAAAAGAACAGCAGCATGTTAACACTGGTTTACTGGCATAAGGATACCCAAAGAAACAATGATGGAAAGAAAGAGAAGTAAGAGACAGGACTCTTGGAATGAGGTACAGAGAACAGACTCCAGAAGATAAAATATTGACTGAACATTCCAATTGTCAAAGGTAATAATTGTCTGAATGTATCAACCTGAATTTCATCTCTGATAAAGAGGTGGTGCACTTTCCTCCGTTCCCTAGGTGCTAGCCCAGCATGGTAATATTCACACCTCACCCCAAGACCTATAAGATCACAAAGATTTTAGTAATCAACAAATTAATCATATTAATAATCATTTAATATACATCTTCATGAAGACAGGACCAATAGCAAGTAACAAAACACATATATTATAATGACAACTTTCTTGGAAATATTTCTCTAAAATTCAAGATACATCGGGGGAGGGTGGGACGGGGGGGGGGGGGCATCAAGATTAACAGAAAGCAAAACTAACTGGTATTCACAGGACCAAGCATTGAGCATATCACACCATAGTTTTAGGATCAATTAAATATTAAGTGTCTTTTACCTTGGAGTTCCCGAGCCACTGTTTCAGTCGTTTTCTTTGTTGGACAGTAAACAATTGTTGGACCATCAAAGGAATACTCAATCTTACTTCTGTAGTCAGAGTAAATAAAACCTGTTATAAATCACCTCATTAACCGCGCGGCCATGGGCCGAGTGCGGTTCATGGTTTACCCGTGGTTTTTTTTTCGTCTTGTATGCGACCAGAGCCAAGCTTTCACTCGGCCAAATTTTGAGTCACGCAACCTGGGATGTTTACTCGCCAAAAGCTGTTGAAACATTAATAAATCTCATCTCCGATACCGACTTTCGCGGGAAAAAAATTAAAAACCCAGCGTTCGTCAAAAATTATATTTTTTCAGCAGAAATTTCGCTCGGAACATATACATATTTATATTCGTTT